CATGTTTGGGCCATGGCTGCAGCAGAGCCATAAAAGGCGGTGTGGGGAGGGCGCTGGCTCCATGGGGAGGGTGCTGGCTCTGTGCCGTGGGTGTGCAGGGTGTGGGGCCGGGCACAGGGTGCTCCTCCAAAGATGGGGCCCCCTGGAGTGGGGGTGGTCCGGGTCCAGCAGAGCTGCTTGTGCCTGGCTGGCCCAGGATAGTGTGTGGGTGCTGGGGAGCATTGTCTTGTGTTGGCAAAGCTGGAGCCTGAGCCGTGTCACTGTGCCCCGCTGCTGCTGTGCCTGTGGCTGGGATCAGTCTGGGGCTGCTGCAGATGCTGAGGTGGGAATTGAGGACACTATCAGGAGCTGAATGCTCAAGGATGAGATCCAGGCTGAGGCCATGCTGCTAATCCATCTCGGGGCACGCTTGGGCACTGAGGGTCTCAAGGGGGAGATGCTGAGGCAAGGGGCTGAGCTGGGGAAGCAGTGTGCAGGTTGAGGGCCTGATGCAGCGAACCTGGTGCAGGCGTTTGGGCTGAGCAGAGCCAGGCAGGACCCCGTAGCACAGACTGTAGGCCAGAGTTCAGCACGTGGGGAGGAAATGTTGTCCAGCTGCCACCTCTAGACAGCAAAAGGGAGGCAAAAGTGGAGTCTGTGGGATTGTGGGGCGGTGCGGGAGGACTCATCCATTTGGGATCCTGTTCCTAAGGACTTCCTCACAGGCAAGGCTCACCAAACCCCTGAAAGAACAGCAGAGATAAGCAGATAACAGATCAGAGTGCAGTGACTAACTGACAGGAAAGCCCGAATGTGCCACCAGCCGCTGCCCGGGGCGCAGTGTGAGCCAACCCACAGGAATGCAAAGGCAAACAGCGAGCGGGGCGATCCCCGGCACTGGGTGGGCACGGTGAGCAGCAGGGCAGTGGGAGGGATGTGGACTCTGAGCTGGGATGTGAGGCAGATGGCTGCAGGGACACTCCATGGTGCCATTTATGGGACATTTCGGGTCGGGCTGAGCGCAGGCTGGGAGCTGTCCTGGGATGGTGCCCTGCTCATGGCCATGGCCATGGGGCTGCCCTTCCCAAGATGCATCCCCCAGAGCTCCATCCTTGCTGCTGGATCAGCCTGAAAGGGATTCGTGGCCATGCAGCTGCTTAATACCAAGCACAACCGCAGCCATTTTAGACCTGGCACTGCACAAAGCGAAGTACATCCCCATTACCTGCACTGCTGCAGATGCGTCCGTCCGCCTGCCTCGCTCAGCCCCTGCACCACGGAGGGCTCAGGGCTGATTCATCTGCTGCTTTTTCTCCTGCTTGCGTACGCTCACATTGTTCCTTCCCCGCCTGAATGGCTAAATTAAGCCCAGCAACAATGGGCCATCGATTATCCTATTGTATTCCATAAGGCCTGGCTTGGTAACTGATTCTGGGGACAGCAAGGTAGGAACAGCCCGTGCTCATGCCGCCCTCAGGAGCCCCAGAGCCGATGTCCAGATACCACAGCAGTTTCTGTCTCCTGATAACAGTGGCTCAGCAGAACCATGTGCAAGCTGCCTGCTGCCGGCAGGTCACCCCTCTGCCACCCCCATGTGATGGCAACGCTGTGCTGTGCCACGCTGTGCTGTGCTCAGCCATCCCACGCCATGCAGGAGAAGATCCCTGACAGCATCGTGTCTCAGCTGCCCATTTCTTCCCATGCCACCCATTTCAGCAATACTCGTTCCGAGTCCTTTTATTGCCTGAGCTGCTGACAAGTGATTTTTCAAGAACAGAAAGGTCAGCACATGCAGCTCCACAGCAGTGCCCTCCTGGGGTCTGCGGGCATGGCTCCGCCCTGGGCATTTCCATAGGGCTGCAGTGCTGCTGGGCACGGCAGTGCCAGGTGGGGTTGAGCAGCAAGGTGAGGGCTGGAAGTGGCCTGATCCCCCTGCTTGGTTCTGCCTCCCTGGGCTCCTGGGCAGCACTGGGAATCGGGGCCCCGTGGTGCGGAGCAGCGGCCCTGGGGTCGGAGCAGCCCCGTGTGCTGTGCGGGGGGAGCTGGCAGCACGGTGGTGACGCTGCTGCTGGGTCTGCAGCAGGGATGCTTTGCCTGCAGATCTCCTACCTGCGTCAGCAGCTGAATTCCCTCGCCTCATCCCTGCTGGCAGCTCCTTAACCCTTTCCTCCCGCTGCCCGTGGAGGCACGGGGCTGAGCACACGGGATGAAGGACAGCCATCACTGTGCCCGTGCGCTCCTGATGCGGGTGGCTGCAGCGTGGGGCCTGACCCTCTTCCTGCAGTCCATGCCTGCAGGAGGAGATTTTCCAGCTGGGGGAGCTGCTCCTCGCCCTGCTTGCTGTGCCCAGCTCCGTGCCTGGAGCGCTGCCTGAGCTCTGCTCTGCACGGTGTTCCTGCAGTGGGGTCAGCTTTCAGCTCTCTGCAGCTCAGCCCCGGCGGTGCCACATCCCCAAGCAGTATAAAGCCATGCACCCCGCAGGTCCCCCAGCCCCCTGAGAGCCATCGGCACAGCCAGCGCCCGCCCAGCACCACTGGCAGCCGCGCAGCCCCCGGGGCAGATTTATTACCCTTGGCAGAAGGCCCAAAGGCCAGCTGGTGTTTGGGCCGTTTCCAAGGTTTCCAGTCACCGCTGGAAGTCCTCCCTCAGCCGCCCCCCATGCAGTGTGTGGGAATTGGGTTCCTGGGACAGGACCCAGCTGCTGGGACCACCCGTGGGCTGCCCACCCCTGCCTGCGCTCCCTTACGGGCTCTCCCTTGAGGGTCCCTCTGCTGGGGACCACGGCCACTCGGAGGGGTTTGCGGTCACCCCACAAAGGCAGGAAGCACCCTGCGAGCCCAGCACTCCAGCAAGGTCCCCCCTGCCATAGGGATGGCAGCTCTATGCTGTGAAGCTGTGGAAGTGGCTCCGGTCACCCGGCCACCGCCCTGGGCACCGCAGGGTTGGGTAAGGCAGAGGCAGAGGCAGAAGCAGCCCAACTTGTTTGTGGTTCCTGAAAGACAATCCCAACCCAAAGCAAACCAGAAATCCCGGGCACAGGTTGAGGCTGCTCCTTCTCTGCATCCCACCACTGAGCAGCACTTCAGTGTGCGTCCTTGGGACGGTCCTGCAGAGGGCTGGAGGTGCTGGAGCACCTCTGCCATTTAGAATGACTAACAGTGCTGGGTCACAGCACTGGTCCTTCTTAGTGGTGCTGTCCTCGTGCTCCCCCATGTGTTTCAGGGATGCCCTGATGTGGTTGGGTTACTCACAGCACCCAGCCCGGCTGCAGAGATTTGTTTCCTCAAAGGCAATTTTCCTGCATCCAGACCTCACACAAGAACAGCTGCTTGGGTAATTCTGCTTCAGAAGTACCTTCATTAGAACTGTGGTTGTAACACTGAGGTACAGCTCTGAGTCCAGCAAAACATACGTGGGCATTTGGCACTGTGTGATGGGGGTGGAGCAGGTTCCTGCTGCAAGCAGATCCCAGCCCTGGTTGTTGGCACACCGTGTTCCAGGGATGGCCTTGGGGAGCTCAACAGGAGGAGGCATCTTCATTTGGTTTTGTTTTGTTTTCGTATTTTTTGTGCCACTGCATCATGGCATGGCTCTGCTCATTTATTTATTTGCAGAGATGTGAGCATGTGAACAAACTAGCACTGGGCTTGCAAAGGGAAAGAGGAAAAAAAACCCTCTTTGATATTCCCTTCCCTTGAGACCAAGTGGGGCTTTGTTTTAAAGGTGAGCTGCGAAACATCAGTTTTAATGAGAACAGCTTGCAGACAATGATGGGTTTGAAAACAAAATGCCAGAAGTGCAGAGGTGGGCAGGGATGTCTGGTCTGGGGAGCACAGTCCAGGGGAGATGCACATGGCCATACCATTGGCTCCATCCCCCCATCCATCCTTCCAGCCATCCCTCTCTCCATCCATCCATCCCTCTGTCCATCAACCCCTCCACCCAGCCACCCACCCATTCATCCACCCATCCATCCATCCATCCATCCATCCATCCATCCATCCATCTGCCAAACCATCCATCCATTCACCCACCCACCCATCCATTCATTTCTCCTTCCCTCCATCCATCCCTCCTCCATCCATTCATCCCTTCCTCCCTCAACCTATGCATCCTTCCATCCTTCCACCCATCTCTCCCTTTCTCCCTCTCTCCTTCTTTTCCTCCTCCCTTCCTCCCTCCCCCCATCCCTCCACTGCCCATCCCTGTGCTGTGCTGCACCAGGGGCTTCCCAGGAGCCTGAGCAGAGCCCTGGGAAGATGAGATGCTGGGAGGAATCCGATGTGCTGCAGAGCTGCTCTGGGCAGTGGACACAGCCTGATGCCAGAGGGCAGGTCCCAGCTCTGTGAGCTGCAGATGTTTGGGGTAGTGAAGCAAGGACCTTAGAAGCAGAACTGTTTTCAAAGCCCTTTATAAGCATGACCTTAGAGAGAGCTGCCTTTCAGAGCTGGAGGAAGAAATCGACTGCATTCGGAGGGTGGTGACTTTTGGACACTTGGATTCTGTGGGAACTCTTGGCCGAAATGCAGACTGCAATAAAATTGGCTGTGAAAATATTTCAGGAGCTTCCTTTGGGTTTCCAGCAGCCTGGTCTGGGAGCAGTCTGTGGGGACAAGGAGCACAAAGCAGTCACAAAGCGGTTGGAAGGCGTTTTGGGCACGAGGTGACCATGATGCAGCTGTCCTGGCTGCTGTGTGTTTGAGCCAAGCAGAAAGACATGGAGGGTGATCAACCAGCTTCCAGTGCGTAGGGTTCTTACGCAGCCCCACTGACAGCTCAGCAGTGTCTGCAGCCATTCCCGTGCCCACAATTTGCAGCTCACTGCCTGCATGCAGCCCTGGGGATGGCAGCCCTGCAGCCCCCAACCTGCTGCCCTCTACCCTGACACAGGAGCAGGAGGAAGGGGAATATTCAGTGCAGCTCACAACAGGCATACACCACATCGCTCCCCTGAGCAGCAGCCAGAGAACAGCCAACCCCAGCCAGTGCCCTCTGACACAGGAATGATGCCAACATAGAGATCTGTGGACATTTAGTGTGAATTTAATAGAGGCACTGTGAGTTACCAGCAGCCAACACTGGGGCCATCGCGCTGCAGATGTCTGAAATCCACCATGGGACGTTGGGTGGCAGCAGGCAGGGGCAAGGAGATCCCAGCAGTGCACTGCTTTGGGCTGTGCCACGCGTGGGAGAACCGCAGTGCTGTTTGTCTGTCACCAAACAAATCCTGAGTGATTTCCACATCGCTGAATGACATTTCAATGGCAGAAAAACTAACGCCAGAAATTACCGACTTCATTTCTTCCCATTGCCTCCTATTTGCTGCAGCAGGGGCAGTGCTGGACCCTCCAGAGATGCCCCAGGGACAGCATTGGGGCCTCGAGGTGCCCTCTGCTACCCCATCTCCATGTCTGTTCCTAAGGAAGCTTTCCCCAGGCTCTGCTTGGCACAAGCTTTGGCTCAGGACACACCTTTGGCTGCCAGTGGATTTGGTAAGGACGTTTCGTATTTGGCAACATGGCTGCACTCAAGGCCCCAGCACAGCTTCCAGTTGGCAGATTTTATAGAAGGCAGCAGTGAAAACATGCTGTCCTTCCAAAAATACTTCAAGGGAAACGTTTACCAAAGACAGCTCAGCAAAAACAACTGCAACAAACCAAGTTTTGTTTTTCTTTCAGGATGGGGAAGAGTGCATACGGGTGGCATCAGCTGAGGATTGTGGGTCTGCCCCAGTGCCTATGGCAAAAACAAATAAGGACAGAAAATATTCAGTCATAGGGAAGAGCCAAAGGGAACACGTTGGAAACACACTAGAAACAACAGAATTCCATAAACAAGGGTCTAAAGTCTGTGGCTGGCAGCATAAAGCAGCAGCTTTGCTGTAATGTCACAAAGAAGTAAACTCCAAAAGGTGTCTATGAAATACCCTGACTACAGAAAGCAGTGCTTTAAGACCCGTGGCTGTACACTCTCTGTACAAAAGGAGAAGAATCATGCCAGCAGGCATGCCATGTAAAAACACAGAGAGAGAGAGACGGCCTTCAGGTGACCAGCTCTTCCTCACCGACAAAGCAGATACGTTCCCTGCAGTCTGCAGGTTTGTTTTTGGCAGATTGTAATTAAAATGATCGTCGTGGTGTTAGAGAGAAGCCACCAAGAGGCATTGTTCTGGTTGAAGCACGTGTGCCCGGGGTACAGGGATGCTGCAGGGCCCTGCCCCCCAACCCCAGCCACACACACTGCTGGGGGCACTCGGCTCTCATTAATGTTCATGTTTCTCATCAGCAAGGTACAACTTCTGGTTCCTAACCAGTCCAGTCCCAAAAGCAGAGTAAAAAAGTCCTTGTGAAGATCTAGAAACACTTTGTGTTCCTATGAAAATCAAATCCAAGCACGTGCAAATGCTGTTCCTGGTTGGGTGCGTTTCGCTCCAGTTCCTCCGCTCGTGCAGTGGCATTCTCCTGCAGACAGACTCCATCCCTCTTCCATTCTCCCCCTTCCAGTTCTCTCCGGAGCCTTGACAAGCCTCCCCTCCATTTTTGTCCTCCACATTTTTCCTCTGCACATCCTTCCTGCCCTTCCCTCTTCCTCTGGCGCGCCCTGTTCCTCTCCAGCTATTTTCGGAAATTGAAGATGTCGTGTGTTTTCACGCTTCTCCTGCCTTCACCTCCTGTCTTGGGAGAAGAATCCTCCACCAGCCCCCCATAGGGGCAGCCCTCAGCTGCGGGATGGTGACCAGAGCACTCCACTGCAGGGATGAAGCCGCTGTCCCACATCCCCGTCCCACACAGCTGGCACAGGTCGTGCAGACTGCAGGGGATGCGGGGCAGCAGGTGGAACTGATAGAGCAGGCTCCTCGCCTAGAGGGGAGAGAGACAAAGTCATTCCCACGTGCCAGGGTGTGGATACAAAGCACTGGGGTTGCCATCGGGCCCTGCTCAGCTCTGTGATAGGAGTCAAAACTTGGGGGCACCCCTCCTGAACAGCCAGCTGGAGGTTAAATGGGGCCTGGAGGCATTGCCAGCAGGTGGATTTAGCAGGAGCTGCTCTCAGCACGGGATTCCTGCCCCTCAGCATCACAGTGCCTACATCTGCCCTGCAGCCTGGGCTTGGTGCTGCTGTGTGCTGGCACGTCCCAGCAGCATCACCCTGTTCTTGCAGGCTGCAGGCAAGCAGGGGATACAGGAGGTGCAGAAGATGAAGCACCAGTCCCTGTTTTTCTCCATGCTCTGACTCATCTCATGGACCTGAGAACCCACCTCAGCATGCAGACATTTACCTTCCTGAGTACGAGTTCCCCATTCATGTGCATAGCCAGGTTGCCAAAATGCAGCAGCATCTGATCGGTGGCCAGCTGTTGTTCAATGACATCATCCCCATAAATCACCACGATGGCCACACAGATGAAGAGGTGGAAGTAGTCTGTCTGCAAGGAGAACACGGGCTGGGTTACAGCAGGTGGAGGCTGAGCTCTGGCTCCCCACCCTCCACAAGCACGTCCTGAGGAGAGATTTGTTGTTCCTGCCAGTTCTGCCTAGTGGTGCTCATAAAGGAGTTGTTGTGGATTCTGAATCACAGCTGAGTCAAAGTATCTCACCTTTAAAGTGTGGGAGTGTGGTCTGGGCCACAGCTTTCAAAGCAGACTGGTGACTCTGGAATTGTCCAGCTATTAAAGAGGAGTCTGAACCTCAGAATGGATGGTCAGCACATTCTGAAAAGCATAGACATCCCCAAGCTGGGGAGCAGCATCCATCCTTTTGCTCTGCAGGTAAACCCCTTTGGTAGTTACAGACTCTCTGAAATATCTACAGTCTCCCCACAGCATCTGACAGGGAAAACTGCTGGAAGATGCCCACAAGGAACACAAGCTTGTGAAACAGACTTTTCAGGTGTCAGTGCTGCAAATGTTCAAATTAGGGGAACCTGCACTTTGATGAATGAGCAGTGTTGTAAATGAAGCAGAGCCCTTCGGAGCCGATCTGTCTGTGAGCATCAAGTAGCTCAGGCAGCTCCTCAGTTCCTTCACCAGGCAGCTCCACGTGCAATTTGTATGACTTCCCATTTCTTCCAAGGTTACCTCCAGCAAATCAAAGCAGAACCCGGCAAAGACAAAAGCAAGCTGTCACATCTCAGCTAAGAGAGCGCTGCGGGAGAGGGAATGCCTGCACTGCAACTTATTTTGGATACTTTGCTACGAAGAGCCTTTAAGGAACCCCGCAGTGTGCTGAGGTGAGGGCTCAACAAAGCACGCTGCTGCATGGACTCCCACCTGGTAGTGTGCCCAGCATGCTTCCCACATGCGCAGAGCCTCAGCATCGGGGAACTCCCGTTTAAAACAGAGGAGGATCCAGCGGTGACAGAAGAGCATCTGCAGGCCGTCCTCCCCCAGGGCAGAAAGGTGCTGGTAGAAGCGTGGGTGCATGAGCCGCAGCAGCTCCCGCAGGTACATCTGCAAGAGATGCACATGGCTGAGCCACTGCCTGCGTGCCAGGACCTGCAGTCCCAGAGCCCCCTGAGCCCCCCCACGTCCTCAGCACAATCCAGGTCTGCTAACGCTGGCTTCAGCTTTGTCCCCCCACACAGAGCCCCAGCTCACAGGCAGCTCCTTACGTTCAGCCAGGAGCACCCAGGGCCGCTGCAGCTATTCCACAAAGAAGAAGGGAGTTTGAAAAGAAAATCCCACCACTGCTACATTGTGAAAAGGAAGATGAGGAGAGTCAGGCTGGGCAAAGCAGCATGCAGCCCTCAAAAACAGACAGGATGTGGCTATCTAAAGTCTTTCATTTCAGCAGGGGCTGAGCAATGTGTGAGTGATTTTAGGAAGCCTGATGCTACGGGCACACTGCAGAGCATAATCCATACAATAAGTAATTGCACCTCACCTGCAGCACCCCACCAGGCTTCCATGACAAATTTACCATTTTACATCAGTGCCATCATGACCTGGACAAGAGTGTTCAGATTTAAAATGTATTTCCCAGGATTCTGACCAGCAAGCAACTGACATTAACGTTAAAACCTAAAAAGTTTCCATTTTTAAGCAAGGTCGCTTTATTTTAAGTAACTCTACCAGATAGGAAAGGCTTTTCATTTGGATATCATTAAAAAAATATCCATTAAAAATGTTAAAACCTTCAAAAAAAGCTCATACAGAGGGCTGCAGCTCCACTACTATGCCTCATTCATACCTAATGCCCCCAAATCAGGACAGAAACGAATGAGTGAGTCTCCTCTGCCTGACAGAAGCAGAGAAAAAGGCAGCAGAATCCTAAATAAAAGATGACCATAAAAGATTCCTTGAATCAGCATCCTTCAGCACAGCCAAGGCAACCTGACTGACAATTTATTGCCTATAATTGCCCCTGGAGTGCCTCAATCACCTGAGATTCATTTTATCTATCAGGTGCTTTGTGGTTTTGGTGCATGATTTCACACAGACCAGTTAACAGCTTTAAGTCATTCCTCCAGTTTGAATTAGGAAGGGAGAAGTTACAGACAGGACCAAACCGAGCTCAGCCCTCCTCCTCACCAGCTGTTTCTCCATATCCTCGTCCCGGGGTGAGCTGATGAAGATGGTGTTCTGCATCAATCCAACAAAGCACCAGAAAGTATCCGACTCATCCAGGACCTCTGCCAGGATTGGGGCGACCAGGTCAGACATGCCTTGGGAATACCCAATTGCTGGGTTAAACACTGCATAGTTCAGCAAGATCCTCCTGGAGAAGACATTCAAGAGGAGAGGTGAGACATGGAGGGCATGGCCCTTCCATCCTACCCAACCATTTACCAGGAACACGTTTACAAGTCCCGCACCCATCAAGGAGGCTTTGAGGGCTGGTCTTTCACTTCATCAGCAGAACCACAGCCATAAGCACCTGCTCATAACCCTGCTGCATCACTCCTTTCCCCCAGAGCTGCAGAAGTCTCCTCCCTCTTTTATGCCTATGTGCAGGGAAGCTAGGGGATGGCAGCAGTGAGAGCTCTGGGGAAGCAGTGGTTATTTTTGCATCCTCTGGTACAGCCATCCTATGTGTGATGCTCTTCAGTATTCCCAAGGCAGCAGCAGAGGCAGCCTGGGCCACAGGGAGTTCTGGAGTTTTCTACATGCTCAGTAGGGCACTGTGTGGGACACTGAGATCAGACACATCACCTCATTGTTTCCACGTTGGGGTTGTTTTCCCCTCGAAAGAACTGGTTGCTGCGGTCAGTCCTCACAACATCCTTATCTACTGTGAACTGCACCTTGCGCCAGAAATCCTTCTGCTCATCTGGAGACATGGAAAGCCTGAAAATCGAACAGCAACACAGGTATGTTGAGACTACAGGAACAAACAACCTTACTTCAGCTTTGGCTTTGAGAAAAAAAACTATTTCTATACTGAGTTTTCTCATCAGTTGAAAACCAGACAAATGGTCTGTCCTGAACAGCACATCTTCTGTCCAAAGGCATTATCAGAAAGGGCTTCCTGGGTTCTGAGTGGGTGACACAGTTGTTCTATGATGAAGTCGACTTCAGGAGCAGCTGATGATGCTCTCCGCTGCTCCTTGTGGGTGTCACACCACAACTCACCACTCTGCTGCCATTTACTCCAAAGTAATACTACCACGGTCTCTCTCCAGCTTAAGTTTACCCACAACCAGTTTGCAAAGCAGAGTTCTGGCATCAATAACTTCCTTAAATTTGACATACCTTCTTCTTCCCTATTTTTACATCCAGATATATTCATAAAGAAACCTAAAATCCCGTTTTCACCTTCAGCCTGCTAAGCCCAGCACATCAGGCCGTAGCCTTGCCTGCAAGACAAACTCCCTGCGTGGTGCTGCTGGTGCTGCTCCAGAAGCTGGGTGAGATAACGTTGGAGTAAGACTGGCTGTGCTGAGAGCAACTCAGCTCCCCTCACCTCTGTCCCCAGCAGCTCTCTGGAGGGAGAAGCAAAAGAGAGGGGAGCAGCAGAGGCTGAAGCCGCTCTGTTACCTCTTCTCCTGGATCTCAAAGTACTCCTTCCTCTTCTGCACCCTCAGTGCCTCCCTCTCCTCAGAGGTGGACTCGTAGCTGTAGTAGTGCAGCAGGAAAGGCCACACTTCCCCACGGATGGACATATCGATCCCACCAAAGAAAATGGCCTGGAAGAGGAAGAGCAGAATCATAGAATCATAGAAAGGTTTGAGTCGGAAGAGATCCTAAAGGCCATCTGGTCCCACCCCCCGCACTGAGCAGGGACAGCCACAGCTCCATCAGTGCTCAGCGCCCCGTCCAGCCCGACCTTGGCTGTCTGAACAGAAGTTAGGATCGGTTCAGTTTTAGCATTCCCAAAAACAGCAACAAGGAACTGCCCGCCACTGTGCTGCGTGGCTTTGCAGCTCTCTCCTGACAAGTGACGCCTTGATTCAAGCTCCTGCAATTTGCACATGTTTAGAGGGAAAGTGCTGGCCTTCTATTCCCAGACGAGACACAAATCGGGCTCATTTCAATGTCAATAACCCCCCCTGGAGAGGCTCTATGATTAACGTGTCGTTCTCATGTCACGGCTTAATCCCCAATCTTGGAGACACCGCATTTCACTGCAAACCCCTCTCAAGACCCGGACCCGGTGCTCCCCTGAAAGCCCCGCATTCTTTCATACAGTCATCTCAATTTTTCTTTCTTTGATTTGCTCACGGCACGCAGAGCACCAACACGTTGGTTTACCCATCCTGCTGCCTCCTTGGGATGATGCTCAGATCTCACTCTGCGGTCCCACCAACACCTCCAGCCAAGCACCATGAGCAACCTGCATCCCTTCCAACATCACCTGTCCTCAGAGTGAAAGCAAACCACAGTTTCCACTCCAGGACTCTGCCCAGCACAGAGCAGCAAGCAGCCTCAACTCACCTTCTGCAGCTTGTACTCCTCCTCCACTTGCCCACAGTGGTTCAGGTGGCTGAGCCATGCTGACACATCGAGGCGCCGGTATGCGTTCTCCTCCGGGTGTGTCTCTGATGAGGGCAGTTTGGGCCGACGGATGGAGAACTGCATGCATGTCTTCTCATCAGCGAGCTGCTGAGCGAGGGGAGCAAAACAAAACAAAACAAAACAAAAAAAATGAAGGCGGGAGGCAGAGATAGCAGCACAGCGTGAGACGTTGCAAAGCAAAACCTTTCCCTGTGGTTCTTGTAAGATTAAGCGCCAGGCACAGCACTTAGCAAGGTTGTTTTCTTATTTCCAACCATTACAATAGCACGAGTGATTAGAATAATTAAAAATCCGAGTGCCACAAAACAGCTTCATCTTAAAAAACAAAAAAACAAAAAAACAACACAGTTTCCTATTCCTCCCCCCATCTTATCCCTGACCTGAAAGTGAATTAATGCTGCTTACAGCAAAACTTCACCCTGCCAGGAATGCCTGCAATAAATTACATATGATTGGCCATATACAAAGGGATTGCTGTTAGGCAAGCAGGGAACGGCACTGCCAGGCTCTCTAAGGGCACTCCTGATCCCAGTGCAAGACTGCAGCTGACATTTAATTTAAAAATCAAAGGTTGTTCAATGCAAAAAGTGAGCCCATGCGACCACAATAAGAAAAGCAGCAGGGGTCTCTGTGGGAAGGATGGAAATTTAAAAATCACTGTTTCTAATAAGCACATATAGTATCTTAAACAGATAATTAAACAGCTCTTATCACATTTGTATGTAGATTGAACAAAATATGGCAAGATGCCTTGTCAAAACATTTTCAGATGCAGTATGCTATGCTTCACAAAATGGATGAAAGGCTCGGACAGAATTTCCAATGCACTGCTGCAGGTTCCCAGCAACCTCCCCACCCAGAGCACAGTGCTGATCTACCTGTGTACCACAGCCAGCAAAATTACCCCCTAATGAGGTTCCTGCCTTATCTGCCCCACATTCCACAGGCAGAACAGGAACGGATGAGGATGAGCAAAGACAACCAAGACCACCCAGCTAACTGCTGGCTGTATCCCAGTAACAGTCGGTGCCTTGCTGCCCTATTTAGTGATAGAACCTCACTGCTTCATTTCCCCAACTCCTTGTGAGAAGTCCCCTGCCCCACCTTGCCCGCTACCTGCTCCTTCAGGTGGGTCTCGGTGCAGTACTTCCATTGCTGGAACACCTCTGACACTTTATCCAGGCCTCCATGGTGAAAATGGAAGATCTTGTACTGGCTCTCCCGGCTGGCGACTACCAGCTGCCCACAGGTGCATGCCTCATCGCTGCAGGACGGAAGTGGGGAGGGTAAAGTGGAGTTAGAATCAGAACCATACAGTCACAGGATGGTTGGAGTTGGAAGGGACCCTAAAGGCTTTCTGGTGCCACCCCAGCACTGAGCAGGGACACCCACAGCTCCATCAGTGCTCACAGCCCATCCCCTGACCTCGGCTGTCTGCAGGGATGGGGCACCACTGCCTCTCTGGGCAACCTGTGTGTCAGCAGACCCTGCTGGTCTGTCCTCTTCTTCCCTTTCCTTTGGATACTGAGAGGCCACCATAGATCTCCCTGGAGCCTTCTCCTCTTCAGGTCACCTCTCAGGGTAAGGAGGTGCCCCACAGGAAGGGGACATTGCATTGCAGTGAGAGGACAGCAAACTGCAATGAAGCTCTCCCTTCAAATAAGGCAGAAACCATCTTACAGCTCTGAATGTGACCACAGAACCAGAGGAGCACTGTGAGGCTGTTCCACCAAGAGCTTCCCTCGTACTGTAAGAGCACCCTTACCCTCCCAATATGCCAAGGAACTGCATTTTATCTTTCGTGGAGAACAACCCCCTGAAGCCTGCCTCAAAGCACCTCTGTGAAAAGTTCCTAAAGAAAGGTTACCTAAAGAAAAGGCGCAGGGATCTCATTTGTCCCAGGTCCACTCTGAAGACTCCGCAGATCTGCTCTAGGGCTCCCACCTTCTGCTGCTCCTCTCCCTGTGTTCGCCCGCTGCTCTCTGGGCTCTGGGTGCTGCCGTTGGGGCTCTCCGTGCAGCAGTGGGAACGTGGCATGTGGTCATCACATGCATTCCTGCAGCCATCACCTGTGTCCCTGCAGCCATCACCTGTGTCCCTGTAGCAGAGTGAGGGGAGAACCCAGCAGCGTTAGCCAGGAGCTGCAGTTGCATGTGACAATCACAGCTGCCACGAGCTATACATCTTTCCCTCAGCTCTGACATTGGAATTCAGGGCAGGTCTAGGAAATCAATAACAGGCTGCTTACAAAAGAGATTAAATGATTTTTATTGAAATCAATGCCCTGCCATCCCAACAGGCGCTCCTGGGTTTGGTCTGCTGCACACAGAACTGGGGAGAGTGGAATATGTTCCCCACCACTGCCTGGGGAGGCGAGCTGTGCACCCTGGGTATTACCTGGCCAAGTCCCTCTGAACACAGCAAGACCAAAAGAGGCTTCTCCTGAACTTCCCCCATGCAAGCAAGCCCCACAAGCCTCAATTCAGGCATATATGCTTCAGGTTCCCATTTGCAAGCTTGGCACTTGGGGAGTTAAGAAGTGGGAAGTGACACATGAGCTCCAAGCCAGCCTGGAGCAGGAGAGTGAAGCAGCATGCTGCAGGGAACAGGGAGATGCAGGGAGCTGGGAGCACACTGCACACACGCACCCACCCCAAGGAGCAAACTGAGCTCAGAGCAAATCCTGCATGCCCACCACCAGCCCCGATCCCAAAAGAAAAATATCACTGCTTTGAGAATTAAGTGAATGTGAAACTGTGACCCCTCGGTTCTTAAAAAGGCCAATACATGTGAACAATCTCAGCGCAAGCTCTGAATGGGTTCCGCTGTGAAATCAGGGTTTGCAAAACAAGGCAAGTAGCAGGTATAAAGACAGCCCCCTGCAATGCCACTTTATGCAATGTTTTCTAATCCGCTTATCTAACAATGTAGGCACTGAACGCTGAAAATCACACACTCAGCATGCATCTGCAGCACAGCACATCAGTATGCCTGCCGAGCCTGGCTGCAGTGCTCCTGCACAGGGCTGAGCCCCACGCGCAGCATCTGCCTGTGGTTCAGGTCACTGCACCCCAATGGCCGGGGCTCCGGACATCCCCCTTGGCTGTGGGTTACATTTTTAACGGATGGCTCAAAGCCTCAGCGCCCACCCGCATGGGAAACAGCCCCCAAAGCCCCTTCCTTCACTCCGCAGCATTGTGTAGGGACAAACGCTGCTTGGCTGCCAGCTCGAAGAGCAGCTCCACGGCTCCATTTGTGATGATGTGCTGCTCTGTCTTGGTGTGCCGGTCCAGCGCTTTGGTTTCAGTAATGCCATGCAATGCTGCAGGCTTGGGGCAAGGTGGTTGGAAAGCTGCCTGAATGTGAGCCACCAAGGTGGTCAAGAAGGTGGCCAACAGCATGTAGGCTTGTATCAGAGGTGGAGGTCAAGCTCTGCTCCCAGTTAACAGCAATAGGATGAGAAGTGATGACCTTGCACTGCACTGCAGAGGTTCAGATTGGATAGCAGGAGAAATTTCTTCTCAGAAAGAGTGGTCAGGCATTGGCACTGCTGCCCAGGGAGTGGGGGAGTCACTGTCCCTAGGGGTGTTCCAGAGCCATGTTGATGAGGAATGTGGTGAGCAGGCATGGTGGGGATGGGTTGGGGTTGGACTTGGAGATCTTGGAGTTCTTTCCCATGAAAATTGTACAGGTCTTTGTGAAAATTCAAGTGCTATTTTCAGCTCAAGCTGCAAAATGTAACACCTTCCTAAAGCGCCCTGTAGCTCACCTTAATGCAAAAATAACAGGAGTCCTGGTACAGGACAGCCGTGTGGGACTGCTTGCTGTAAGCAGCTGGTATTTGTGAAGCAACACTCAGCAGCAGGCACAGCTGGTTCCACAGGATTGCCCTGGAAGAGGTGACTCAAACCAACTGTAAGACTGAGCAGAGGTTCTTATAGCTGTGTGCAGAGCTGAACAGAGGCACAGCAATGGCTCACTGGGATCTGCTGCCCCACACACACTGTGTGCATTCAGGCACTGTAGGAACTGAGGGGAAAAAAACCTCACAGTGTTTAGGGTCACTTTTTCCTTTATACATCAATATTGGGGAAAAAAAGAAAAATAAAAAGGAATGGAAAGACTCTAGACTGTTGGTCTACTTCTTAAAGCACTGTTAATGTAGCCCAGTAGTGGAACGCAGCACTACCAGCACTGGTTTTGTGGCTTGTGGGGAGTTCTCTATCCAGGCACACTTGATGTGCAGACACAAGGGAAAAATTTTACCATTTATTATTTATGAAAGCCAGACCATTATACCTGCTGGATGAGGGATTTGCACCAGTGCAAGGCAAAATGCTGGAGGAATATTTAAGAGAGAGCTGGGGCCGTGGGAGCCAGAGACAGCAGACTGCCAGGAGAACACATGCAATCCCCACAGGAACAGAAGGGTCAGAGGAAAAGATTATCAGGGGAATTAGCAAACCTAGAGGCAGGAAGCCCACGGACACAGCCACAAGGCCAGTTACACCTTTTCTCTTTGCTCAAGTCCCATCACTCTCTTGTCACAAACTACATCTCAGTCTTGCTGCTGCAAGATCAGGGAGTGATGCATTTTCTCCCAACCACCAGCTGCAGCAATCAATGGCTCTACGCCCCATGAGCTTCTGCAGCATCTACAGAGCATAATGCCTGTGTGGGGCTGGCCCCGTGCTTCAGCTGCAGCAGGAACTGCTTGGCAATGGGATGACTTACAGCAGTGGGGCAGACCTGCAGCAATGGGGCTGACTTGCAGCAGTGGGGCTGACCTGCAGTAATGGGGCAGACCTGCAGCAATGGGGCTGACCTGCAGCAATGGGGCTGACCTACAGCAGTGGGACCAACTTGCAGCAGTGGGGCTGACTTACCGTCCAGCCAGCACCTGCTGCACAGAGACAGGAAACCAGTTGTTATTACTGTTACAGAGCCAGGGCAGAGACCTGCACCAATTACATGGGAAGGCTATTTTAGCGACAAAGATCTAATAACTCATTTTATGACAAGATGTGACACGTGTAATTATAAGAGGGAGGATGGCAGCTGGGATGTGGCAGTTATTGAGTGCCTCCCAGCCGCCTCCCAGAGTCTCTTGCAAAAGCCAAACCCTCTCCACTTGGCTCTCCATCACCACTGCATTCAAGCACACCTCCAGTAATTGCAGCCTGCCTCACAGCCCCATCTATTCCTGCATGCTGGCTTGTGAAGCGTTGTTTACAGACAATAAGCATCACCATAATGTATGAGCACCACGAAATGGGAACAACGTGCCCTTTCCCTCCCCAGGGCTGGTGTTTCTCTGCTTCTCTACTGCTCCCCACAGGCACTGACCTTCCAGTTCCAATTCTCTCCAGCAAGGTGACGCAGCTCACGGCAGCATCAGCTGCCTGAAACGCCAATGACAGATGGCTTCAAATAAATAATCCATCAATAAAAAGTTCAAAGATATCCCAAAACGCCTAAACACTGAGTGCAGCGATGGTACAAAGTGAGGTCAGGTTGGGTAGCTGGAGCCCAAATCTATTGTTCTGATAAATAAAAGAGTGTCCTTGACAACACACATGTATAATGAATTGTGAAACGTGCTGATTTCAGCAATAGATGAACGAAGTGCAAAAGAACACAGGTAATATGGAACAAAGCAGTTTCCCAAAACAGCCCTGCTTGCACCGGATGAAGCTGCAGAGCGATGGAAAGACACGGGCAGGGCAGCAAAGTCCAATGCCAAACCCTGACTGGTGGGAACATGTAATGATGTTGGGAGCTGTGCAGAATTCCCCCTTGGGCTGAAACCATGTGGAACCTGAAGCCCCTTTACCTCGGAGAGCCCCAGCAGAATCAATCCGTGTTAAGCTGCAAGGAAGGGGTGCTTAGGAGTCTGGATGAGCACACAGCCAGAAATCCCGAAATGAGATGTGGGAACACCCTCATGTGGAGGCACACACGGAGCAAAGCCAGCAGTCCTTCCCACTTGCCAGGGAGACTGCTGAAAACCGTGAGGACGTCACAGCACAAAGTACGGCAGTGTCAACATGGACTTCCCAAAAGCCTGTTCCACAGCTTCCCATTGATCTGTTTGCTTTCAAAACATAAATTTCCCCATGCTGAACTGCACTAAATGAATGCTATTTAGTAGCTAATTAACTTTCTGTGCTGAAAAGCTCCCTTAATTGCACTTCTTTCACCTTTTTTAGCCCGCATCCTCTGGGGAACCTCAGCTGTCCTACGGCATTTGTTCTGCTCCTTCCTATGGCACTCAGCGGCTCCCAGCACTGCAGAGGTTTGTACTGAACTGATGTATTCTGCATCTCCTTCCTCCTCACAGGTCTGCCCTCCAGGTACCCGAAAAGCAACACTTAAAAAAATTCCTGAGATGGAAAACGTGATTTCTCAGCAAAGTCCCCAAAAGAATGTTTGCTTTTCAGCCCATTTGGGATGAGAGAAGGGCACCTTTCTTACCAGTGTTTATTTTATATTTTAAATCAATGGCTTATTTTGCTTTTCTCTTTCAGTTCTACCCATGCAAAAAATAAAATCCTACACTAATTATGCTAATTACAATCAAGCCTTCACACCGCCGGTCCCTTGGAAGTCCCGAAGATTGCCTTTGTTCTTACACACTTGGCTCTAAGCAGTGGATGGGGAATATTGGGCAGCTCTCTGCCAACACCAAAGCCATGCACCTCTGACCTGGCCCACTACCACTGCCCTTGTGGTGCTCAGACTGGGAGCCCAAAGGAGGTGGGTGCTCCGTGTTAGAAGCAAGAGGAGTAAATTACTGATCACACCACCGATGCAGTGAAGCAGTCTGTGGGAGCAGACCTCAGCAGCACCTGCGTATTCCTCAATTAAAATCCCAAACAAATAGCTCCACCGCCCCTTCGAGCCGTAATTCCTGATCTCAAGTTAGCTGTCACTATTTTTCTTCCACAGAGAGCTGGCAGCAAACCAACAGAGGCAAAAAACCAAACCTGCCATAATTAACATGCTTGCTGTTCAAATATTGATACAAAGAAAGACGGAGCCGTATGCCCACACTGCTGCTCGGCTCTGCCCAACCTCACAGTGGATTGGGGCAGCACAGCCCTGCCCAGAGCCCACAGCTGCCCCACTATTATGGGGCAGAACCTTACTGAAGGACACGGCTGTTTTTACAGTCACTGCTCCAGGTCACAGCGGCACTTCTCAAACCACACGGACCCAGAGCCAGGCCCTGAGGCTGAAATCGCCAAAAGCAGGTGAGAATGATGCAAGACACTGCAAGAAGTTACAGGAGTTGGGAACCTAGAGACCAATTCCCTCAGCTCTGGGAACACAACCACCCCTGGCAGTGGGTGTGCAGCCCCGCTGCGCCCATATGCGGCCCTGGTCCGGTCTGCAGGGGGCTGAGAGGCACCGAGGTGCTGCCACAACATCATGATGCAACAGCACGCTGTGCTATCCCTGGGGAGGCCATTTGCTGATGAGCTCCCCAGGAAGGACTGAGCAACACTGGCAGAGATTGCATCAAGTGTGCCCAAGGAGCTGCTGCTTGCGTTGCACGCTGCGCCTGTAAGAGCTGTTCACGTGCACTCATGACTCCTTCGGAGCATGAGAACTCCAGTGTGGTTTAGCTTCAGCATGAAAAGGTTGTTTCATGACCCAGAGAGTGGTAGTCAATGGCTCAGTGTGCAGATGGAGAGGAGTGAGCAGTGGTGTCCCACAGGGGTCAGCACTGGGACCAGTACTCTATAATATCCTCAATGACGTTGACAGTGGGATCGAGTGCACCCTCAGCAGTCTGTAGATGACAGACCCCAGGGATGGGATGCCATCCGTAGAGACCTGGACAGGCTGAGCAGTGGGGCCAGGAGAATCTCATAAGGTACAACCCATCCAAGTGCAAGGCCTGCATCTGGGTGGTGGCAGCCCCTACTATCAGCACAGGCTGGGGGGTGTAAAGATGGAGCAAAGCCCTGTCAAAAAGGGCACCAATGGATGGCAGCAGGACATGTGACAGCATGGTGCCCTCACAGCCCAGAAAGCCAACAAGACCCTGGGCTGCATCCAAAGCAGCATGGTCAGCATGCACTGATCTAGGTGTAGGTGTCCCTGTGTACTGCAGGGCCTGTAAAGGTCCATTCCAACCCAAACCATTCTATGATTCTATGGTTGTGAGTGAGAAGCCCTTCACAGCTCCACTGCCCCTGGCCTGGCTATCTGGGGGCACAAATCCAAAGCACCTCTGCAGAGCACCAAGTGCTTCAGCAACTGATTGGCACAGGGCTGCTGCCATGACCAGCTCAAGTGACTTCAGAAGCACTGAGTGACATCATGCAGGTGTCAGATGCTATTTCGTCGCCAGGACGTACCAAAAGCTTTTGGTTTCACTTTGCTGATGGGGAAATGGAAGCTGAGTAATCTAGCAGGGCAGCAACAGCCCAAGGCCAGGTTCAGATCCCGCTGTCCTCAACCAGTGCCCTTCAAAGTAAAGCAGATGTTTCCTGACAGATAACAGTGATAAGAGAGAAAAGGAACAGAAAGAGACCATTTTATTTCCAGCATCTCTCCTCTCCCATACAAATGCAGCTCAGGATGAAACCACTGTCTGTGCACCCACCTCCCATCAGCCGCTGCCCCCAGGAACCTGAGGGCCAGCAGGGGCACGGGAACCAGGAGGACACATCCCCCTCCTGCCCATGGCCCAACCCAGCTGCAAAGGAGCACGAATGTGTGCTGGTAATGGGGCACTGCCCTCTCCCCAGCCCCAGGAATTGTGTAAATGGGAGGAAAGCATTGATCGCTGCATGGGAGCCTGGCAGCCTTTCAAACCGAGAAGAAAAAAAACAAAAACACAACAAAACAAAACCCAACAATGGATACGTTTTTATTTCCTTATGCTCTAAAAGGCGAGTTGTCGACTTAAAATGACTGACTCATTGTGCAACCCCAAGGCTTCCCAGCTCCCTCCTGCCCCTGCTCTGCTCCCTGCCTCACACACAGCGCTGAGGCTGCAGCTCCATCCCGCCCCCAGGAGCAGGTCCCAAGGATCCAGGAGCCACTCAGTGTCATGCAAGCAGCCCTTCTTCACCTCATCTGATCCAACACACCCTAATTCTTCTGCAACGTCATGCTTCTCCATTTCTGATGGTACCCAACTGCATGGAAGGGTCAGCCGAGCTGGAAAACCCATGCAACGCGTTGCTGCAGCTTTTGAAATAAACACAGAGCAAAGTAGAAGTTCTCTTTATTGCAGCTCCCCAAAGGAGAGGGAAATAACCAGAAACAGTCGCTCCTCTTTGGAGGGAGGGTGGTGGCCGGGGGGCAGGGAGGGAGCTGCCGCCAGCAGCATTAACTTTGTTCACACTCCAGCTCTGCTGCACAGAGGAGCTGCCAGCAGAAAATCCTTCCGAAACAAGGAAGCTGTTTTCAAGCTGCTGGTGACTTCTGGAGCAACATCCCCTGCCCCTAACAGCTCGGGTGAGCCTTGGGAGTCAGAGTTTTGGGCAAGACATTTGCAGGATATTCTGTGCAAACTCTCTGACTTGAGCAGTTTGCAAGTAGCACCCAGATCTGCAGCTATCATGCACAGGGCCCTGTGGGGAGGAACGATTTGGCACAAAAGAATGGACGCACTGGACAAAAGCCTTTCAAGCCTGAAGTCCCAAACAATGAAAGGTCTGTTTAATTAATCTGTTGCAAATTATGAGGGCCACATCCACTGTAAGACGCTGCCAAAGGAGTTAAAATAAAATAGAGGGGAAGGAAGGAGCAGCCCCCAGGAGCAGCAGGCAGAAAAAACCAGCAGAGGGCTCCCCAGCAGCCAGGGCAGCATGCACACAGTGGGGACTTACAGCTTAAATTGTATTTTATCTACATAAAAAAAAGGGGAAAAAAGGAAAAAAAAGGAAAAAAAGGGAAAAAAAAAAAAGGGGGAAAAAAAAGGGGAGGGAAAAGGGGGGGAAAGGGGGGGAAAGGGGGGGAAAGGGGGGGAAAATCAACTGTCTTTTCTATCACAGGTCAGTGATAGAAATGGTACATAATGCAACAAACCCCTTTGCTGCAGCCATTGGACTCTGAGAACACAGACGTTATCACTAAAAAGGAGTGAAATAAATACAAGTTTCCTAAAGTTTGTTCCAGACAGCAACCCGACTGGTGATCACTTACTAAAACTCAGCTTGCAATACTTAAAAAACGAAGTGCACTTTATTTTTATAGTGACAGAAACAGCTCAAGCATGCTCAGCATCACGTGCTGCTTCCAGGAATAAAATTACATCTCCGAAGCAAACTAAGGTGCTGGTGGCAATAGAGTTCAGATGTGCTTTTTTTGCAATAAGTCAAATTAATTGCAACGTTCTCTGAAAGCACGTGCAGCTGAAGGCCCAAACAGTAGCCCAGCACTGGAGGAAAACCTCACTTGGGAAAGCACACCTTGGAACCAGCAAAAGTGAAACTGCAAACCCTATTTCACGGAGTCAGCCTTTAGAATGGAAGAAGGAAAAGTCAGCTGTCAGAAGCTGTATTTAACTCATTCAAAGACCTCTCCAAGCTTTCAAGGTATGTCTTATAGCATTCATCTAGTTCCCAAAGCCCTCTCATGGTGCACAGCTGTCAACAGGAGATGAGCATGCAGAGAGCTGTAAGAGCTCTCTCTTTCCAATTTTCTCTTTTCTCTCTCTCATTCAGTGCTGTTTGGAAACCTCATCCCAGCCTGAGCAGCCTCACAAGGCTGCCCTGCAGGGAGCAGGGTGTTGGGGGGGGACAGGGAGCACTGCCCTGCAGCCCCAAGCTCCCCAGGCTCACACTTAATGACCACACGCCGCTAAGATCTGCACCAAACATGAGGCCAATACAAATGTCTGACACCACCACCCTTATGTATTCAAAAAAAAAATATTCAGAAAGAGTTAAACCACTTAAAACGCTTCCTTCCATAAACTTGTTCTTACTGGTATTCTCTGGGTTTGAGATTAGACCATGAAATACAGAGGCCAAATCTTTCTGAGCGTCAAGTCTCCGCGCAGTCCGTGCTTTGCTGACACACACAAAGTAGAACTTGTTTTTCCTAATTTCAGGTGTAGTTTCAAGTTCAGCTGTATCCTTAAAATCAGCCCTGGGGTGCTTCATGAACACACCTCTCCTCTGCGTGACGGAATCGAGTGATACAGCATGGTGACTGCAGAGCAGAGAGCCAGAAGCACCGTGGATCAATGTAGGAAGTGATCAGGTGCACAGTGATAAACCCTTGCTTTGCCAGGGCGGCCCTCTTCCCCCACAGAATTGACTGCAGATGCCATTGAGAAGCACTGATCTTTGGATGCACCAGTGCTGACTGTATAAACATTTCAGAATTCATGTTTCTGCCCTATCACGACCTTGTTGTCAGCAAAGCAGCCTTCCTGTCCCTGCAGCACCTTGCCCAGAAGCCAGGCTTGCAGGACGCCAGCCAGACTCTTTGATGTGGCTTTGTACCAGCAGCTAGCACAGCAGAGCCAGCAAGACCCACAGAAGACCTTCCCACTTCAGTAATGCTGCTCCCAGGCTTCCAGACAGCTCAGCCGAGAGGCCCACACGTGCACAGCCCTGCACGATGGACAAGGCCACAGTTCAACGAGCAGGGGCAGGACTGGCCAACAAGCAATTTCCTGTGAATTACACAGGTGTCATAATCAAGGGGAAATTAAAGCAAGTCTGGAGCCAGACAGGATATTCAGCTCAATGTCACTGTTGAGCTTCTCGATTTCCCTCCACATCCCCAAGCTCAGCAGCCAGCAACCCAGCAATTCACCCAAGAACTGGAGAAATGGATGCACTCACCTGGTTTCGTTATCCAGAAATACAGAACTACTGCTTTTCACAAGGGCTTCGCTAATGGGAGAGAGGCAGAACGGGGAAGAGAAGGCATCAGAATCAGAGTCGAAAGTACTGTCCCTGCTCACATCATCAGCAAACAGCTCCAGGGAGCCCTCGTCCTCCCCTGGCTCTGGCCTGCAGTCCAGCCCTTCCTCCACCGACAGCTCTGACCTGTTCTGCTCATCCTGAGAGCTGATTGTCGACAGGATTCCTGAGTCGCTGCGGGCAGGCTGCGGGGACTGGTGGGCACCATCTGCTGCCACACAGCTCTGGGGCAGCTTCTCCCCATCCAAAGAAGGGGAACTGATGTAAGCCCCGTCCTTCACAAGCTGAGACACAGTCAAGATGTCTTCCTTCAGGACCACTGGCCCTTTTGGCTCGGTGGGAGAAGCCTGCTGGGCAGTGCCAAATCCCTGAGCGTGGCGGCCTCGTTTGCGGGGAGCTTTGCGGACTGGGGAGCTCTCGGGAGTGACGTAACGCAGGGCTTCTTCATCCTGCCTCTGGATGCGTGAGTTTGGGACCCAGGCGAGGATGAGAGTGGTGCCGAGCAGCTCATCCTTCTCCATGTACAGGCACAAATAGCCTATGGGAGAGCAAAGCAGCAGTCGGTTACAACACAGCTTCACTCTTAGGAAAGTGCCTAAGGCAGAAACTTGCCCTTCCTCATCGCCTCCCCTCTTCACCACCACTGCACAAGGGCAAAGCAACTGCTTTTTGTCATCAGGAGAGAATTGTGGAGTTCTCAGCATCACTCAGTATTCACAAATAATTTCAGGTCTGCACATGGCTTCTGAATACTCTGAATTCCCTCTGGCTTAAGTGAAGACAGGAATTGCATACAATGCTTTCAACTTCCTGGCTGGATTACTAATCAAGAGTAAATTCTGAAATATGTTGCCACATGAAAAACTTTCACTGTTTGTTAGTTAAACAATGTCAAGTGCCAGCTGAATATTTCTTCTTTTTAAGAATATTTACCTTAGTATAGCCAAAGGGCTACAATTCTCACGGAAAGCCAATAGAAGAGTCACACATATGAAAGGGGAAGTATGGGTCAATGTTCACAAAATAATCAGTTTTGTGAAGTTAAGCCAGTAGCCACAGTTCTCTTTGATGAAAACATGAAAGAGCATAGTAACAGCTGAGAATAAAGGGATAGGGGCAGTATTTATCTTTATTTATGCCAGTACATGAAGCCACAATCAGGTTTTATTTTCCCTCTACCAAGGGGTTGGTGAGGCCACTCTAGCAATAACAGTTACAGGATGATACTTGGCTTCGCTGAACCATACACATTTAAAAGAACATCAGAAGTTCCTGCCCTCAAATGACAACTGTTCATCTTCTGGGAATACAAAAGGATGTACACTGAAACAGGTAGATCTATGCTACCAGAAGAAGAAACGTTGTCAATTTTTCCTATTAAAAGAACAGCTGATAGATCAGCTTGTGGATGGCTTTCCTTGGTGCCTTGAAGCCTGCCTTGCCTTGTGCCCCACTGGTGTGCAGATGCTGACAGGAACAAACTCCCCAGGAACAGGAGAGGGTAAAAAGGGTGAGTGAGCAATGCCTGCAGCCCCTCACCTGGGTGGTGCTCCCCGATGCCCTGCAGCAGCTCAGGTGGGTGGACGCAGACATTGTTCTTGGAGTAGATAATCTCCCCATCGAGAATGGAAGATGAAGTGCTGCTGCCACCAGGATTCAGGGTCAGGAGGTCAGAAGCTTTAGAGGAGGCACGTCGGAGGAGTCGCCCCAGAGACATCGCCGAGGAAATGTTTCCATTATCTGTCAGCTTTAATCAGGAGCCAAATTCAGAAGATCTGTCAAGAAAGAGGAAAGAACAGTGTTAGAACAAACACAAGGGCAGTGCAGCACACGCCTATGGCTGCCTGAGAAGGAAGAGGTCTCCCATCAACTGCTGCTCATGCAAGAGCCTCCAAGTGCTCTGGATCCTTAATGCCCCCTATGTGGGTTAAGCACGCTGAAGCACGTAATTTGGGGATGTTTCTCTCTGCAATGAAGGAATATGGAAGCAGTAAAAAACAAAACAAAAAGACCTTTGGTAGTTAGCAAGTTTTTTCAGAGAGAAGTGACATCCCACAGGCAGCCCAACAGAACTCAGCGCAGAGCAGGCACTACTGCCACCACTGCCTGCAGCTGGAACATACAGCACTGCAGCATGGCAGCTGCTGTTCCACCAAAGGGACACGAGGAGAGGAGACGCCTACTTCTGTTCCTCTGTATTTACACGGCCTCACTTTACAGGAGCAGGTTGGCCCGACCCAGCAGCACCATGCATTGCCACAGGGCTGGGTGCAGGTGCAGCACTTGTTGCTCGCTCTGTGGTCTGCAGAGCACACGGAGGGGCAGCCAGGAGGAAGAAAAGCAGACAGGCTCAGGTTTGTGCTGTCGGAGGCACTGCGTGCAGGGAGTACATAGGGGTGTAAAGCAAGTGCAGTTTAACATGGAATTGCTCTGATTTCTTGAAATGTGGTTCTAATGCTACCTCTGGATAAATGAGGAAGCAAGGAGGCTGAGAGGGCAAACAGAAAGCAGAACTTCCCCAAGAGCAGAGTGAAAGCTGCTGGGAAGGAAAACAGCAGTCCCAGCTCAGAGTGATTTTTACATGTGATGGCAAATCAAGTAGTTATCCATCAAGTAGTTAATGGTGCCTTCATTAAAGGGCAAGCTATTGGTTTAACTGGCAATTGCTGCATTTATCAGCTTGAATCAGCTTTTGTTCACTGGGACTTGGAGAAGCCTCAGCCCTGCCATACACTGAGCCCAACAGGCTCTACGTTGTATCTTGGAGGAAGTCAATTGCTTGAAGATATCTACAGAGGAAGCCACCCCTCCTCTTGCTGCACCCTGCAAGAATACAACCAGTGAGCTCTGCTGCAGTTTCTCCTCCTCGCCACTGCGTTCCAGCACAGTGCTGAGAGTCCAAAGCAGTGATGTGGAGCAACCTGTGCAGCATCACTGATCCTGAGCTTCCACCACACCCACAGGGGCTCATCTGTCTAAAAAGGCAAAGCCTGTATAAGCAAAGACAGAATGTTTGATCGAGGTGGTTGCAGCTGTTGACCAGGGAATGCTTCCTTGAAAAACATTGCTACTACAGACAACAGATGGAGATGCACCTATGAAACACGAGCTTATGTTATGGATGCCCCAGTGCAGCTCCCTAGGGGCTCTCAGGATGCAGGAAGAGGTACAGGACTTCTCTGCCAAGAGAAGCAGCATTTAATTAGCTTTTACCTGGCATAGTGAGAACAAAGCAACAAGTAAAGATCTAAATTCCTTCTGCTTTTCAGCTTTTTTTTTTTTTTTCAGCATCTTTAAGGGAAGTATCACTTTGATCTGCAGAGCATCTGTTGCTTCAGCATTGCCTTGATGTGCAGGTGGAAGGCATGGGAGGTACATGCATACATGAGCAGGTTGTGAAGAAGAAATAAAAATGCCAGGAGGTCCAAAACATAACATCCTGCCAACATGGAAACAGCTTGTGAACCTGCCTCTGCTCCCCAAAGGGCAGCAGCTCAAGCAACACAAACCAGCAGTACCAGAAGTACCAAATCCACAGGGTTTGCTCCATTCTGAGCCCTTTCCTACATGGGACAATGTCCTGGGGCCTGTGGGAAGTGGTGCTGCCAATGCCCTGGGCAGGGGCTGGGGGAGGCAGCAGGACCCTGTCCCACAGCTGAGTCAGCAAAGAATCCGCACCATTAAAAATGTACTTTTCATACTTTCTATTTATCCCCCTGATCTGAAGGGATTCTTTCCAACGTGGCAAAGCCAGCCCAGCTCTCTGGAATCTGAAGACCAAATTAGCTGATAAGCTCTTGTTGAGTGCCAACATTTATTAAGCGCACAGACATTTTTCCTCTCCCACACATTAACTGCCATCTCTAAAAACCTTCGCTGCAGCTCCTGAGCTGCCCTCAGCACCTCAGCTGCTGCTTCCAGGCAGTGGCATCTCCAACAGCGCTGGCTGCCCGCCTCCCCTGGAAGTGCCCTTCCCCTTCTCATAAACAACAAGATCCTGTTTGGCTTGGCAGATTGCACTCTCACCTTGGCGGTGGCTGTCGGACCAAATGTCGCTGCCTCCAGTTGCACAAGATCCCTGTCTGCTGGAAAAGGAAGGCAAGGTGGGCTCCAGCACGTTGCCACAGACCCTGCAGCCACCCGTGGGGCATCTCCCACCAACATGCTTGGCCCAGGGGCACTCAGTGATGTGCTGCAGCCTATGGCCACGCTGCCAGCGCTCCGGGCCTGACAGCAGATCTTATGGCTCTAAGGGCAAACGTTCTGTACAAGAGTGTAATCACTTCACAAGCAAAATAAGCCAAATGACGGGGCTCTTGAAGGGAAACACGAGGCTCACAGCACGCCTGTGCATAAAAGAGAAATGAGAGCTGTAAAAATCAGCACCAAATTTGAGTATGACACACCGTAAGAAAGAAAACCACAACACGTTTTTTTTTTTTAATTTTTCTGCCTTAATATCTTAAAATTGATTTTGCAGACTAAAGGAAGAGTCACTGCACAGTGGAGGTCTCAAGCCCAGCAGGAGTTACTGCTTCCTCCTGCTCCTCTTGGGCAGAGCAATCGCTCCATCTGCACTCTGGGCTCTGGATGGCAGAGCACAGGGACACAGAGCCAGGTATCGACCTTCCCTTTGTACTAAGAAAAATAATAGCTATCCAACCCACTAGCTATTAGCTAGGGCTATTTAAGATGACCGAGCAAAATCAAGGGGAAAAAAAAAGTTTACCACGGGGAGCCATTCTAAAGTCACTCCATTTTGCAGGGAGAATGATGTAGGTCACCAAATGCTTTTCCTTTCCGACCTGCAGGTGCAGCAGCAGCAGGCAGGGCACAGAGCAAAGAAAGGAATGACAGCAGCCACAATGAGGGCTGGGATCCAATGCAGCGCATGCATCCTGGCTGCTCCCATGCAGCAGGTTGCACTGAGATGAGAGGTAAAGAAGGGACAGCAGGCTGCACGCTGCAAGTTTGTGACTCAGAGATAAAAAGGGAAACGAAATGCCATCATCGACGCCTGCTGGCTGCTCCCAGCCACACCTGCTCAGGCATAAAAAAAGCAAACACAACGCTTACACGCCTCCAGCCCTAAAAGTCAAACGGCAGCACGAAGCGATTTGCGCCTCACGCCCCTCAGTCCCAAGATTAACCATCATTTCACGTTACTTAAGGGAAGCGTTGGTGCGGTAGACAACATTTTTATCGGCACAGTCCTGCAGCCGCTGCCCTGTGACTCTCACGGTGCCGATGCCCAAAGCACAGCTGAAGAAAGCCCCGAGTCTGTGGCCAAACAGATCACAGACTCACCGAGCAGCCCCAGAGATGCGCCCATGCCGTCCAGCAGGACCTGCCAGCAGCCCACAGGGCAGGGCAGCAGCTGGCACGGATTGTCCAGCTTCAGCCGAGCGATCACCAGGATGAAAGCAAGTCCTGCAGCCTCACAGGAGGCTGGAAGAGGCAGCAGCAAGCCGGGCATCCTTCCTCTGAGCTGTCAGCAACAGCCAGTCCTCCCGTTCATCCCGTTCTCTCTTCAGAGACCTCTCATAGTTCTGTCACCGGCCGCATCCATCGGGACGGCCGAGCGCCTCGCACGGCAACGCAGCGCTGGGGGGTTGGGGGTGGGGGGTGGGGAGCCCCGATAACGGCAGAGGACCGACCTCTGGGACACGGGGGGGGAGGGGCAGTTCGGGAGGGACGGACAGACGGACTGGGGGGTGGGGAGGGAGCAGCGAGGAGGGGAGAAACAAAGAGCGGGGGAGCGCGTGCTGCTGCCGGCACCGGGCTGGAGCTGTGCCTCATGGGCCCGGAACCACGGCCCGCCGAGCGCCCCTGGGCTGCTACCGACAGACCGACCGACCGACAGACAGACCGACGAACTTCCCCCCGCCCCGGGGAGCGCAGCCCCGCCCCGCCCCGTTCGCCCCGTACCCACGGGCGCCGTGCGGGGCTGCCGCCTCCTCCTCCTCTTCTTCCTCCTCCTCCTCCTCGTCGTCGCTCCGCGCGGCCCCGAGCTGTGCCCGCCCCGCCCCGCCTCACAGCTCCCGGTAACCGCCTCCGTGCCGGCGGGGAGCTGCGGAGAAGGACGAAAAGGCCCCGCCCCGCTCCTTTCCGCCTCGCCCCGCCCGCTCCGGCCCCGTTATCCCGGTACCTGTGCCCGCAGCGGGGCCGGGGGGCAGCGCTAGGCTGAGGCGGCGCGGCCCGTTCTCCCCCCCCCACTCCGCGGGGTGAGGTGGTGCGGTCCGAGCCCCCACCGCCCGCACCCCCCCATAGCGGGGCGAGGTGGTCGGGTCCGTCTGTCACGTGACCGGCTGTTGACGCGTCGCCTGGCAACGACAAGATGGCGGCGGTGGCGGGTGAGTGCGGGCTGCGGCCCGGCCCGGCCCGGCCCTGCTCTTCTGCTTCTCGCACGGCTGCTGTGGGCATATCAGAAAGCAATTCACCCGAAAAAGAGAGTTATCCCAAAGACAGTTCCTTAGGTGCACGGCGATGTAGGGTGTGATGGTGTTTTTTGAGGTTTGCCTGTGGTAACAGCTCTTTCCTTGTCAGGACTGTATGGTGTGTGAAGCTGGGGTACAGCCGGGTCCCTCTGAAAAGAGGCGATTTTATTGCTGCAACCACAAAACTACAGCAGGGAGAAGAGATTTGGTTGAGCATGGGGGAAGTTCTTCACTATGAGAGCGGTGAGGTGCTGGAACAGCTGCCCAGAAAGGCTGTGGATGCCCCGTCCATCCCTGGAGGTGTTCAGGGCCAGGTTGGATGGGCCCTGGGCTGCTATCAGATATGGAGGTTGGCAGCCCTGCCTGTGGCAGCGGGATTGGAGCTTGATCCTTCCAACCCAAGTCATTCTTTGCACAAAAAGGCTCCGATGAAATGGGAGATGTTTCTTTCTAGTGCCCAATCTCTGCAAAGGTTTCTTTTTATCAGAATTGGTGCTGCTTTGCCAGTATATCTGTGAGCTGATGATGGAACATGATTCTCTTGCTTATCCTTCGTATTGTCTATATCTCATAATGACAAAAATAAGCAGGTTTTTAGGGGCAGTCAGATTGCAAAGTTGATTCAGTTGGTGATTTTCATATTTTAGGAAAAATCTCCTGAAGCTTTCTCAGACAAAATGGAATTTGATGGTAGCCCTCCTGAACTGGCAGAGATGGAGCAGCCAGAAACAGAGAGTGAGAACCCTTCCCATATGGCTGCAGGAAGTTCTGTGCAGGCACCTGCATCTTCAGGGGAGTTGAACAGCTCCACAGAGCCAGGTATCATCCTGTTCCTTATTGACACTACAGTAGGTGATACCATCTCACATACAAAATATCCAGCTTTCTCTTTTTCTGGTGATTGTGAATCCAACTTTAGACATAACACTACAAAATGTAAGTGTTGGGTTTTTTTCTTTTTTCCCTTTCTGTTCAGAATCTGCCTTGGAGCAGTTTAATCAGCTTGCTAGTGAGCATGGTGACCAAAAATGGGAACAGGAACACCAGCAGGTTGGAGCTGAGCAAAATGAAACAAGTGGAAGAAGTAACAAAGCAGCAGAAGAAACACAGCTTGTTGTCTTGGATCCAGAACATGTGAGAAATCTCCAAACCTTGCTTTTTGCTATTGCTTGTATTTGCAGCTATATAGAATGTATGAGGCAAATTCTAAGCAGTGGTTTAGCTGTATGCTTAAAAATGATGTTTAAAAATAGGTTCTACAAAAGTACTGACTGACTCCTGAATGTCTATTCTCACTATTAAAATCAGATTCAAACGTGAGCAATACTGTGGGCATATTGGCTACTGTTTAGTACTCCTGAGTACTTGATACAAGAGGGAGTGGATGGGCTCTCAGATATAGCTCTCCTGATGTTTCTGACTTTCAGATATTCTTAGTTGCTGTTTTCTGTTGTGAGTGAACTCCCACTGTATAACCTGTTGCAGTGAGTGTAGCTAAATAGGAATCCAAGCCTCCATGGTAGAGAACACAATGTTCTATTCAGTAGCAGCAGTAGTATTAAGGTTCCTTCATCATTTATTTATACAAGTGTGTTAAAATTATCACCATCACGCTTTTTTACAGCCTCTGATGAGAAGATTCCAGACTGCCCTCAAGAATTACCTTACTAAGCAGATGGAAAAAGTGGATCTAGAGCTTCGAGAACTGGTAGATAAGAGGATTTTGTTGCCTTCTCACAGCACCCTGTCCCTGTGCAAGTTGAAGGCAGAGAATCAATTTCCTCTTGTATTTGCAGAGGACGGCGACAAAGAAGAGCAATGAACAGAGAGAAGAGCTTGGGGTGATTCTTTATGGTGCACAGCAGCAGCTGGCCCATCTGCAGCTGGAGCTGGAGAAGAGCCACAGCCGTCGTTCTCAGGCAGCCACAGCGCGTCGGCAGCTGGAAGAGGAACTGGAGGGCCTCAGGCTGACTTACCAGAAAGTGTGTCAGAACACGGATGATGAACGCAGGAAAGGTGACTGAGGCAGTCCTTGTGCTATTTCCCTAATTCAAATGACTTTGAATCCAAATCGAGTAGTGGATTTCAGAATACAGTAAAATTTACATGGAATGATGCGCTCACTGGGGAGTTTCATAGGTACTCCTAGTTCTTAGGAGCATCCGTGTGGCAGCTTCTTCTAGTCTTCCTATTTTATTTGTGCTTAAAGTGTGTCCTTCAAATGTAGTTCTCAGTAAATATTCTTTTTCCCACCTCCTCAGTTTCTGCAATGCAGACTGAAGCAGAAAACTTGGCCTCACGTCTCTTGCACATGCAAAATATGGATGAGGAGATGCATCATAATATCTTACTGATGAAGCAGTCGACAAAGAAGGCTGAAGCAGAGAAGATTCAGGCTGAGGTGGAAAAGAAAAAACAGGTATCAAGTAAAACTGTCTGCCTTTAGATAAATAAAGATGGATAACAGTGATGAATCTTGGAGGAGGCGCTGCCTTGTCAGAAGAAAGGCTGTAATGACAAATGTGGAAAGTGCATGGGGACTTCATTCCAAAAGAATTGGAAAAAAAAAATCCCAAAAACAAATCAACAAAACAAACACACACACATACACAACACACACAAAAATCCACACCACAAAAAACAAGTGTTTCTAAAAAGGAAGGAAAAGCCACCACAAAGATAGTGGTATGTACTGCCCAAAGGTTTTCTGCAGTTCTTATGATAGTAAATTGCTCTTCAAGAAAGCAAAGGAGGATGGGGACAGAAAGGTAGTGAAGAAGTGTCCTTGTTCAAGCTTTAAAGATTATTCTGAGTCACAGTGAGGTTCAAAGGGAAAATTGAACTTTGGAAATGAGCAAGCCTGTTGGTGTGCTGGAGCTCCCTCTGCTGCCTTCTGCTTGCAGCAGGACACACACTGATGATTTTTAATGCAGGATTGTACACAAACAGTTGAAGTAGACTGGATTTAGATGTTTTCTAACAAAGCATTTTACATCATAAATTATTAAGATTCTGAATGGTGAGGTGTCATAATATAACCTAAACTGACAGGAAGAAATGTTAATTCAAGATCCAAAGTATTGATTTACTAATGTGAATAATAAAGAAAAGATAACAAAATCAGCAAAAAAGGGCTCTTTCTTTTGAAAGTTCTCTTCTGCACCTGTGGCAGTCATTCATACCTGAACAGAGATGTTCAGTAAGAATCAACTCTAATCCATTTGGCCATTCAATCTTGATACTAGGCTATCTTGTTCTTGTTGAGTATGTAGTTGGTGAAGACTGAGACTGCATTACTCATCCTGAACTGCTTGATTCTGACTCTTTAGGATCTTCTAGTGGAACGCTTAACAAGAAAAGCCTATGAACTACAAGAACAGATTGCTCTGTTTGAAGCTCAGTTTGTGGCCCAGGCAGAGGACACCAAAGTAACTCGACAAGCAGTGAGTGAGGTAGGAAGTGCACTTTTTTTCTTTTTTCTTCCGGTTAACATTTCCGCCTGGCGTGACTGACCCCTTAGGCTCATGCTCATGTGATAGGTACAGTGCAGGCCACAGTTTTATAGTCTGTTCCTGTTTGCTGACATGAAGATATTTCTTGCCTTTGTTCTTAAGAATTGTCTGTAAATCACTTCTTAGCCCGCTTCCTCAGCACTTTTTCTTGAAGACCTATAACTTTTCTGTGCAATAAATCAGAGGCTTTAACTGAAGCTGTTTCTGCCTGGTATATTATGTCAAGAAAAAGGCACTGCATTGCAAAGTATATTTGGTTTTTCAACCCAGTAAAGGTTCAGCCTGTCTACACGTTCTCTCTTCCCTAGGCCTGTATGGAGGTGCAGGCTATTAACATGGAGAAGAAGCGATTGATGAACCACTGGACTAACAGCTTAGCTGGACTGAAGCAAAGAGATGAGGCCTATATTGCTGCACAGGAGCTGCTGAGGTATGGCATCTGAGAAATGCTCCGGGAAAGGCCTCAAATAATTTGGAGAGCAGAGATTCTAAAAGGCGCAGTGTGTCTTCTGTCAAGTCTGTTACTGCGTGAGCAGAATATGTTAGACAAAGCAAGCCTACTGCTCTGAAGTATGTAGCAGTAAGGTTATTGGCTAAGAAGTACATTTCTTTGTTACTATGTTTTGATCCACAACGCAAT